TCTTCATCCGTAGATGATTCCGGAAAAATTAAATCTGACAAATATTTTACCAGGTTGTAATACAAGTTTAAATCCATGGTGTTATATAATTCTCAACGATCCTTCACATATACTCCTTAAGAACAATACTCTGAATTCCAAGAGAGTCCACTGAAAGTCCTAGTGTTGTTCGCAAGATATATATATAAACTATTGCTGAAAAGTTTTCCCAAAGGAATTTGAAATTTTCTACAAAAAAAATTAATTTAAGAATATAAGGTAATATATAAAACATATGAAATGTGTAACAAAAAAAAAAAAATAAGGATAATATTAAACTAATATAATTTATAAAAATGTAAAGGTGTAAAGTGTAAAACGCAAAATATAAAGTTTAAAGTGTATATAATGGGTAATATTATATACAGAAAGGTTCTTTTTATGAAATATACAGAACCTATGTGACAAATAAGATTAATTCTTAGAGTTGGTAAACTATTTTTACTTGTATCAAGTACTTTTGCTTACGTCAAGTGTTTTAAATTACACAAATAGTTTTACTTATGTCAAGAGCTTTTACTTTAGTCAAATCGTTAAAATGACCCTGGTGAGAAACCACCTTTAGCCAATACTTTAGTTACGTCAATGACTAAAGTCAAAAGTTTTGTCATATATCATTAGTGATAACCAATATTGCCAATATTGTATATCAACTAAAGTTGTTTCTCACAAGAGAATTGTCTTGTTGGGATTTAAATTTCACAATGATGGTTTTTCCTAAAAATGAGAACCACAATTTGCCCCGTTCAATTTCATACGCCGTAATTAGTTGCAATTAATTGAGGAGCTGTCTTTAAATACGTCACACTTTTATTAGGTTAAACTTCCATAGAAATTGGAATTGACTAAAATAGTCGACTAAACTTTTTTTCGAACAACTATTAGTCGACTATCTTAATCGACTAATACTATGCTAATACTATGCTAATATTATTATTGTCTGACCAATTACGATTTTTGTGTTTTATCATTCAAAATGGAAAATTTCTATGCGGAAGAGTATCAATACCATCAATATGATGATGACGACAATAATGGTGGTGTTGTTGATGATAATTTTACATGTGAACGAATAAACACTTCTGATACAAGATCAAATACTTCATTCCAATGATTTAAGCGGTGGTTACAAAAGACCTTTAAACAAACGAAACGTAACACATGGTTTTGTGTGGAAGTATTTCAGATACAAATGGAAATGAATTCGTAATTTACAAATTAAAAAAAACCTCCCGAAATATTATTATTTAAAAAAATTTTAGCTAAAATAATCGACTAAAGAAATTTTGTCCAACTAGTAGTCGACTAAGGATTTTTTTGGACGATTCCAACCTCTAAAAAAACCAAAGTTAATTCAACATTCACCATAAAAGCTCGTAATAAAAAATAGTTTATTTTTATTTTTTGGCAGGAAATTTGCTAAATAGATAAACGATATCATATTAATATATCATTTATTACTGATGAATGTTATTGTGTAAATTTAAATTATTTAATTTTGAAGTAAATTGACCATTAATTGATACTTAATAACTATCGATAAGTGATGGCAAAGATAATATCTTGTTTGCCATTATAATTATCAATTACAAATACAAGTTGAAATTGCACAGTTGTATAGATCATTTGGATCAAGCCTATCTGTTAGCACATTGGCCTTAAAATAGCATTTATTATTATTTCATCATTTATAAAATAGATGGTTTAATTAGTTGGTTTAACGTGATGTGACTTCTTCTTGAATAGTCAATTTATAAATCTTCATTTGATAAAGATGTTCACAAATACTAATAGAATTGCCATGCATTGAAATATTAATTATGTTATTATATCGTTAGGTAACATTGGGCATCAATGATTGATTAGAGACAATGTCAGGGAAAATTTTCTTTTTCAAAAAATCTCATAATTCTAGTAGCTCATAATGTAAACTGACTTCTTGATCTTATTTATTTTCACGAAATGATATAAATATGTGATTGATTTAAAATTTTTTTTTTTGCGGTGGCGGTATCATTTTTAATTAGTAGTAATGTGACCCTTATTTAGTGTCCGCTATAGGAAAAATTGTTTCAAATTTCAATGTGATTTCTGTTAAACTTTATAAAGTTTAAGATTAAAAATAAATTAAACTTTATACTAACTCATTTGAATACAAATTAATGAGTGTGTCTAATAATTTTCACTTAATATAAATTCAAAAACAAGAATCATGAGAAAATAATTTTGAAAATACCCTTGTACAACAGTTGTTTGTTGTTGTTGTTTGTTGATAATCATCAGCTTTAAAATTAAATAAATATTTTCCCAAAAAAATAATCAATAATTTTTTCTTAATTTCTATTTTAGAATACAAAAAAAAAATAGATAGATTTAAAGATGGATAGTAATAATAATAATAAAAAAGAGCTTAAAAAAATCTTTCAAATTTCAAGTAAATCGCGCAAAAGGAATTTAAAAAAAATCATTCAGAATCCCAATAACGCTCATAATAACTCCAGCAACTTTTACCATGCATCTGCAAGTTCCTCCTCTTCTACTCCGTCACCGCCACCACCACCATCTTCTTCTTTTCAATCCACGCCGATTAGTTGTTATGGTGGAACAATTGAAACTAGAGTATCAAGATTTAACCTATTAAACTTAAAGCAGGAATTGCAATCAATCACTTCCTCCTCATTACTAAAAAGGGGAAAATACTATAATTTATATAATGAAATTGGTGGAAATATCAAAGATCTCGAAGAAAATATGAAAGAAGCAAAAGAAATTTTCATCAAAAAAGATAAATCAACAATAAGCAGTAGTCCTAAACAAGCAAACTTAAAAAGAAAAAAGCAATCAAAAAATGCTGACGATGATTCTGGTAAATTATATAATTAATTATTATATTGTGTATGCACATGCACGCTAATTATATTTATTTATTAAAAGACTCTGATGATCTGTATCTACCACCAGGCCAAAAACCTAAAAAGAATGCAAGGTAAAATTTTTTAGAAATAATAATAATATCATTATTATTATAGCGAGTAATCTAGCAAATTCCAATAAATATTAATTGAATATTTAAATAAAAAATGTATATAGTCCAAAGAAAATAAAAAAAGGATTTTCCGACGATGATGATGATGACGACGATGATGATAGTGATTTTTCAGAATCTTTTATAAAAAGGTCAAGAAGTTCAACTCCGATCAGATCTAGTAGCGGTGTTAATGTAAGCAATCACAAACTATATGCACTTAAATTTATTTATATATTCACATATATACACATGTATATGAATGTATTTTTTAGAATGCAAAAAATAAAAATAGAGGTGGCACGTATAAAGTTAAAGAAAGAAGACAAAGAGTCGCCACTGAAGCCACTTCAGCTCCAAATGATGAACCTCCTGTTGTAAAGGCTAAAGGCCAAGTTCCAATTAAAACTTTTTACGATTATTTGGATCCTTATTTCCGTGATTTTACACAAGAAGATTTGAAATTTTTATCAGCCAAAGTAAAAAAAAATCATTATTTCTATCTTACACACATATATATATAATATATATGTATTTTTTTTTACATTTTATTTTTTATTTTTAAAAAGCCAAACAATCAAAAGTATTATGAATTTCCTAAACTAGGAAAACGTTACACAGAAACTTGGGAAGAAGAATTGGGTGAACTTACACAACATGATCAAGGTGGAATTGTGCAGTCAAATGGAAAATTTAACACTTATTCGTCAAACACTCGATACGGTGAAAGTGATGATGAATTTTTTGGATCTATAAGTGAACGTTTATTATCTTCTTTGATAGGATATGGTGATGAATTTAATCAACAGGAGGATCATCAATATTTACAATCAAATGTACATAATGGTTATCATAGTACTAGTGGCAATAATGACATTATTAATGATGATGATGGTGATTTCACTGGATTAATTTCCAAAGATTTTTTGAGGGACTTTGATACACAAGACCATAATGTGAACGATAACGTTTTTAGAGAATTGAAAGCTTTGGGTCTTGTTGATGATGATGATGATGTTAGTATATTTATAAATACGTTATAATTTTTATATATAATTACTCGTCTATTTATGCATTTATAAATAAATTTATTTAGTTTCAATGGAATGAAGGGTGTGTTGATGATGACGACGAAATTGGCAAAGAGTTGCTTGAATTACAAGCAAGGCTGCGTGAATTGGAAAAAAAGAACGCATACCGTAAATCTGTCCTGAAAGAAAGTGTAAAGGACATGATAGGTTATCAACAATTTATCCAAATTGAAACAGTAATTAATAATGAAATTAATGAAGCTTACTTGGCTCGACATGTAATTGTTTTTCTTGGTTATTCATTTTTCTATTAAATATTCACTTGTATATTAAATTTTAATTCTAATTTTTTCTTTTAAAAATAATAAAGCCTGAAAAGCAAAAAGAAATAAAAAGTAGAAGAAGTGGTTCCAGAAAAACAATTCCTGGTGATGATGATATTGCAAATAAACTTGAAAGATACAAAGAATTATCAAGATTAATTGGTGATAAGTGGAGCAATGTTGAAAAATTCAAAGTACCCACTGAATCAATCTTCAACGAAGAAGATATGAATAATTATGTATATGAACCAGATAATTAATTTTATTGAAGATTTTTCATGAGAGAAGAAAAAATTAATGATAATAACAACGATAATAATAATAGAAGGTCATTTTATGATCATTTAATAATTAATTTGAAAAGATCATCTAATTCTTTTTTATTTTTTTATTATATATATAAATAAAAAAAATAAATTATGATCAACTTCTAGCTTAATAGATCAAGAAAATAGTTTAATATTAAATATGCATTTATACTCTCTAAACTTAAAAAGGTTGCTAATTTTTATCATTACACGGAATTTTAAAACCGGCGGAGACTAAATCCGGAATTAGCTGTAGATAGCAATAGTTTCTACAATTTTACTAGAAAAGAATGTTTCTCCAAATATCTGAGCAAGACTTAAATTGGTAATAATAATTATAATTATTATTATTTATTTCCTCAAGCTCCTATTACTGATTATTATTATGACTTTGATCTGCTGCAAAAGATCATCAGAAGATAAAAAAAAATTGATAAATTACCACAAACTTCTTCTGCATCATCATTATCATCAACAATGCAAGAATTTTAAATAATAAATGGAAAATAAATCTTGTACCAAAATCCATCATCACCATCATTGCCATCACCCTCCACTTACTTTCATCAATCAAGTTGTAATGCTAGAAATAATGTTTATCACAAGAACGGAAATTTTGATAATCAACCATTTGGGACATGGTGCTTTGAAGCATAGTAATGTATGGACGTGAGGTGTAAGTTTATCCATCAATCTACAATTAATTTTATTAAAAAAATAAATATTTTAAATGAAATAAGGTTTATTTGACAGAGAAGATACAGAATTTAATATGAAATTAACATATGTTATATGGAAATTTGATTATAGACTCAGTAAACTGGTAATTGACTCATTATTGCCAAAGCTACAATTTGAACATTTGATGAGCCTCAGTGAAATGGATGATTCAACTACTACCTGCTTGATCAATCCAGATCCTGATTGGCTAGTTTTAGTTAATGATAATGATATGCTTTTGGTAAAGAGCATTGGAAAGTAATATCAATTTGTTAGGAATCAACATGGGCTTAAGTTAAAATCTCTGTTATTAGGTGACAGCACAGTTATTGACTGTTGGCAACAAACTTGAATATTTAGACAAACATTGGTTAGTCCTCATGAACCACAATTTATTTGTGAGTCTCCTAAATAATATAATCATATCTTCTTCACCAGCTTTGACAATAAAACAATATATACTTTGATGATGTATCAACTGGTGTTTTTACTATTATTGTTGATAATGATTATTATGTTACTATTTCAAACATACACATCAATGAATTATCAAAAAAAAAATTCACTTCATGTTTTAACTGTTAATTCCGAATACTTTTTATCAAAAGGTACTCCTTACCAAACAATGAAAACTATTCTGAATTTTTATATACTGGTGGACTATTAATAATGATGATCAGAAGATGATGATAATGATAAAGATGATAGTAATGGTAAAGAGGTATCCCCATCATCATTGTCAAAACAACAGTAGTAGCAAGCAAAGTGGAACAATGTATTGATTTATTACATGTTGCAACAAGGTTTTTAATTAAACCATTGATTAAATGATGTAAAAAGAAACTTGGAAGCTTTGTTACCATGGAAATGTTGATAAGTTTGAACTTCTTGCTAATTAATACAGTTCAGATCTTATTTTTCTTGAACCATCAGATAATGGTTGTCTTAATGATAATCCCTTTGATTATTCTGATTTTGAAAATTCTACTATTAGTTATTACTATTTTAATGATTATTCATTTTGATTATTATGATGAATTATGATGAGACAATACTAGGCATAGTGGAAGTTTTATATAATAAACTATACAATTAATGAAGTTAGAAATAATAATAAGATTAGGACCATAAAATGAAATTTTAAAAGAGCAATTTTTAAAATAATGGTGATAATGGTAATAATATGGCGGTAATGGTAAAAGCAAAGATGGTGACGATGGTGATGGTGATTTGTTTATCATATTATTCCCCCCCCCCCCCCTCCGATTGTACACAAATTCTTTAAAAATCATTTTTAATAAATAATAATAGATCCAAGCTGTATTGAATTTTGGTAAATTTTCAGTCAGACTTTCACTTTGAGCCCTTTATGTCCTCCAATTATTCACATTAAAGAATGTCAAAAAACTGGTAACCCATCTAAAATCCATCTGAAAAAAAAAGGTCAATTATATGATGCACAAAACCACAATTACTGGCAATTGGGATTTTTCATATGAATATTCAATCACCAAATTTAAATGTTTTAAATTTCCACCACAAAGTCTTAAAAAATCAAACAAAAAAAATCGAATGCATTTATTAATTAATTTGTTGCAAAATAAATGAGCATTACGATTAGTTAATTTTATTACATATTATGTCACAGTTATCTTCTTCAATAGTTCAAGAACATAAAGTTCATAAAGTTATATCATTTCAAGATAATATGACGTATGAATTCATTAGAAGTATCTTTATACATTTAATTCATCAAAACCCAGTCTAAAAACTTCTACTATTTATTAATAGCAACACAAATACCTCTATATCTATAACCTGAGGAAAAAAAGTATATCTCATGTTGGATTGAATATTTTTATTCATAAATAACATATTTTAGAATGTTGAAAGAACATTACTCATCATCTAATTATAATACAAATTATGCACACATGAACACTTGTTTCCTTTTAAGAAAAGCATCGATAGAATCCTTCGAAAGACGGTTGAGTTTTTTATGATCTTGCAATTGTTTTTCAGCGGTAGAATCCGGTCGTTCCGTTTCAAGGTATCCAATTTCAACATGTTCATTTTTAATCTTAACAATAACCGAAAAATCAGGCCGGCGTGCACGTTTGAAAGAACCCTTTCGTTCTGCACTTGCAGAACTTGCCTTTTCTCCCCTATAAAATATGTACGAAATACTTTTTAAAAAGCATCTAAAAGTTAAACAAGAAATTAGGATCCACTTACCATTCCACCCATGTATCAGTATCAATGGGTAAATCATCCATTACTATGTTTAATAATGGCGATAATAATTCGCAAACATAACTACCCTCATTTATTGCTGGATGTTTTGTGGTCACGTAAGATCACCATTTTGGTGATACCCAAATTCGCCCTAATACTAATACTAACACAGCTAACATCCTATCCGTCATATTTTGTAATAATTCCGGTTCATCCAAAAATTCTCCAAATCTTGCATTGCTAAGTTTTTTAACTGTTTTAATACGTTCTCTCTCTTTACAGACAAATTGCTCACATCTACTCATTAACATCTCGTCCACGGGTATTAAAAATTTTTTGCTTGGTTCATTGAATATTCGGCGAGATTCTTCCGATATATCAGAAATAGACGATGTAGTATCATCTAATATATTGGAGGAAATGGGGTGGTTGTATCCCAATTCCTTTATTTGTATATCTTGTAATTTAACCTCTATCTCACCCACATATTTTTTTCTTTATGCTCACCAGAAACAGCAAGCTAAACTCAATGTTAATTTGACGTTATGATTTTTAAAAGAAATAACATTATATTTTTGAGTAGAGTACATACTTTATGCACGTCCCGTTTTAATGATTCGAAATTTTTGGTGGCTTCTGTAACCCACAACAATTCTATGTTCTACGTATATATGATTAAATCTTTTATTAGCGGAGTTAGCAAGACTAAAAATTTGATGAGTAATATAACCAAAATCACGTACAAAACATTCAACTGCGCCAAGCTGCTAATATAAGTGAAAGCCTCCGATGCCTAAAGTTTAATGGATTGATTTTATTAACCATGAGCAAAATAGCGAAATAAAACAATATTTTTTTTGCGCAAGTTCAACTATCATGTCAATTATACTCGGCTGAGAGTTAAATATATATAAGACCTCGGCGTTTCTGCACATAGTTATTACATATGATCAACTACTACTAACGAGCCCGTAAAATTCATTACGGAGGCGTAGCCCTTCACCGACATATGTTACTATTAGCTTCAACATTCGAGGTCACAAAGAAACACAAATTCATCATGTCTAAAAATAATTATATTTTCAGATGAAAGCTTACTCGTTTCTTCAAATCTTCTCCGGTTCCAAGCCCGCTAAGAATATTGAAGCGCTCATCAGTTATAGGTACAAGCTTTAATGCCCTCCCAAGTGTTTCCTGAAAATTATGTATTTCCATTTCTCTGTCATTTGTCCAGTCTCCGGATTCTACTCTCTTGTACAAGACAGTTACAGCGTTGATATATGTAATAAAAAACTTTTCCATTCTTTACGATAAATTTAAAAAAGTGATATTTAATATTGAATTAAAACGTTGAAATTGTAAAAATTACTATAAAAGCAACAAATATCTATAACTTCATTACACTCCCTTTTTTAAACGTTTTCCTTCCACGTCTTATCGAATGAATGATGCAGAAAGATAAAGCACTGCGAATGTATTTACGCCAAAAAAATTCTCTTACAAAGAAAAAGTATGTACATGTTTCTCTTCCATATGTCAAATAGAATGGTCCATGTCGTGTGGTACTATGTATCATAGTTCTATAAGAAAACAATACTGAAGGTAAATATATATCCCAACCCTATAGAAAATAGACATACGGAATGTATAAGAGTTTCCCTATTAATACGTTAAAAATCCGAAAAAACGGTCAATTGTTTACATAGCTACGCAACCAAAATTATGGGTAAAATAAAAAATTTACGTCAAAATCCGAAAAACGTTTTTTACATTGTTATGTAGTGTCCCGCAGCTGCACAACTAAAGTTATTTGAATATTGTTATTATTTTCTTTATAATTATCAAACAGAATCTATTTTTTTAAACAATAAACAATATCTTTTAAATTGTAGGTAAAATTTATGATTGATAATTTTTTGATACAGATAATGTTATATAATAATAAGAAGTTCTATTAAAGTATTAAAGCATGAGTTCGTTGGTAAGCTGTTTGAACACGGCATCTGCAATGGAACGATATGTGCGATCACCAAAATTATAGATGATGATAATGTAGAAATTACTTTTCCAATGGTAACATTATTAAAATGAACGTTCAAAAAATCACTATAAATTTTGAAATAAATGGTACACATGCCTCGAGGTGCCAATTCCCATTCTAGAATACATTTTTCTTGGCAACTCACAGGACCCAAGGCGTAACATTGCCACATACGACTTTAATGATTGATGAAAATATGTGTCGATAAGCAGGGCTCCTTCTTGGGACCAGTTGGAAATTTTTTCATTATGATTTCGATTGCCTGAAGGTAAATAAAGATGTTGTGACTGATTAAATCTTTTGCATCAAAACGGTCTAAAAAATATTATCAATGAATGAATTAATTGATTAAAAAAAAAATTTTTTTATGTAACACGTGTTCACTTTGCATCCGAAATTTTAATCTTGTTAATTATGACAAAAGCATTTCATCAAGTATCATTTAATCATGACATCACCAATGACTCATTTTTGACATTTAACTTTAGTAATTGTCAATTAGTCATTATTCATCATTCTATTTTTATTTTATTTTATTTTATTGGACAAAATCATGTTATTTGTAATAGGAAATATAAATATGTTTGAAATCTCCTTTAGTGAAAAAAATTAATCAATAAAAATAACACTTTTCATTAATTGATAATTCTGGCATGATTGATTGATTTATAACCCTTTCTGGTGATTAGTGGTTTGGCCAACATTTAATTATTAGTTAGGGACCCTTTTATTAGTTTACTATTTTGCTTGTAGGGATGCCTCAAGTAGTGTAGTTGTATATTTTAGTTTAGTTTGAACATTATTGGCTGTGTGCCAGATTTGGTGACTCTGCAATAGACAAATTTTTGTTCAAATTATTCAAATTATTCATTTGTTTGAATTATTATCATTCGTTTATTCGAATTATTATCATTCGTTTATTATTCGATTTGTTATCATTCGTTTATTATTATTCGAATTGTTATCATTCGTTTATTATTCGAATTGTTATCATTCGTTTATTTGTTATTATTATTCGAATTGTTAGTTATCATTCGTTTATTATTATTCGTTTTGCTCGAATTAATAATTTTATTCGCTTATTCGTTTTGTTCGAATTGTTCGTTTATTCGTTTTGTTTGAACTATTCATTTTATTCGAACTATTTCGCTTTGTTCGAATTATTCGTTTATTCGAATTATTACTCGAACTATTCGTTTATTCATTTATTCAAACTATTCGTTTTGTTTTAATTATTCGTTTTAATTGAATTACTCGTTTTAATCGAATTAATCGAACTATTCTTTTATTCGAACTATTCGAATTATTTTGTTTATTCGTTTATCCGTTTTGTTTGGAACATTCAAATTATTCATTTATTTGTTTTACTCAAATTATTTCGTTTATTCAAATTATTTGTTTTATTTGAACTATTCGTTTATCCGTTTCATTCGTTTATTCGAACTATTCGAATTATTTGAATTATTACTATTCGTTTATTTGTTTTATTTAAATCATCGATTGAATTATTTATTTTATTTGTTTATTTGAATTATCAAATTATTCGCTATTTATTTTATTCGAATAAACATTCAATGTAATTCGAATACTCAAATTCATAACGAGTAAAACAAATAATTTGAATAAACCTTTATTCGAATAGAAGATCTAACCAAGCAGTATAGTTATATGTAGTGGTTTTGATTTAGTTTGCCAGATTTGGTGATTCCAATAATTCAGATCACACGCTTGCAATATTTATTATAGTTTTACGACTTTAGGGTTCGGGTAAAATTTAATTTATTTTTGTGATACATATTTGAAAAAAAAAATTTTTTTTGACAAATTATACAAAAACCATGATGGAAAACACTTTGGATACTTCTACTGACAAAAATGATAAATATTTTGATATAAGATCTGAAGAAAGTGGGGAGTGTCCAACTTGCAATAGATATAATACTTATTATTCATGGTGTCAATCATGTGATCCAAAATTATTAACTGAAGGATGGACTAGTGGCAATGAAACATTAGATGAGTTGATTAAAAGTACACAACTTAAAGCAACTGGGTATGATAATTATTATTATCTTCAATGGATTCCTTATAATGATTTAACAAATATTGAAAAAATTGTTGAAGGTGAGTTTGCAACTATATCCAAAGCTACTTGGTTAAATGGTTATAAACATACAGACAGTAGAAATGAAAGAACTAGCAAAGATAGGACTGTGGCATTAAAAAAATCACATAATTCACAGAATATTTCAGATGAATTTCTTAATGAGGTAATTATTTTATTTTTCTATTTATTTTCAGATTTTAAATATTATTCTGAAATTCAATATAGTTTAGAAATTATGTTACATTCCATGGTGAATCATTTATAAAAAAAATTTTTGGATTAACACAAGATCCAGCTACAAAAGAATATATCTTTGTAATGGAATACATGGAAGATGGAAGTCTTCGAGATTATGAAGATCAATATATTAGGAAAAAAGAATATAGGGAATGTCTAACCTGCAAGAGATATAATACCAGTCGAGCATGGTGTCAATCATGTGACCCAAAGCTATTAACTGAAGGATGGACTAGTGGTAATGAAACATTAGATGAATTGATT